TAGAATAACGCAGGGAAAAGCAATCGATAGCTTTTGAACTCTTCTTTTGAAAAGGTCATTATCAATATTGACCTCAGGTCAACGGTTTGGCCTCCAGAGGGCAAAAAGTCCAAAAATAGCTGTTTTTACGAAAAGTGTTTTTCGACAATAACTTTCGACTACAAAAAGCCACGACATTTCTATTGCCAGAATCGTGTTCCTCTCGCCGAGACGCGTCGAATGAACTATAATTTGACCTTGAAAGGTCAAGTTGAAAATTTGACCTCAGGTCAAGGTCATGACCTTACCGGAAAAGGTCGTGCTGCATATCAGTCGATGCGTCTCAACAAGGCAAACACAATGAGACCATCCCCAGCGTTCTATCTCTTTCCAATCGCGAGTTATTGGCAAAAAACTGTTTGTAGCCTCAAGTGACCTCGGATGACCTGTCTAGAGGCTATCAGCAAAAATGACACCTTGGTCATCACGAGTGGACTAAATCATTGTGATTCTGAAATATTTGGACTGTTCCGATGCGTACACACGGATCTAGAGGCATTTTCATTTTTCTCCATTGACTTGTAATGGAAAGGTTTCGCCACTGACCTGACCTTAGGTCACGGATATAAAAAATCCGAGATATACAAATTGTAGGCGCCCATAACAGCATGCAATCCACCAAGTTTGAAACCTTTCTGACAAACACTTCAGGCTGGACATGACTGCAAACTTTTTTTAGGCTTGGTCAGTTAACTTGACCTGGTGACCTGACCTGACATGACCTGGGGTCAAAAATTTCACACATTGTCCAAAATTGATGTACCAAAAGCTACCCCAAGCGGCGCGGCGCTACGCGCCGCGGTTTTTTATTCACACGCAAAAAACGCGACAGGGTGGTAACATATGCCCCCCCCCCACTGGGGCGAAGGTTAATTGGTGGTTCTTGCGTCTGATCCTGTTGCTTCATGTTCCATCACATCACATTAAATTTATAATGGAACAGACACTTCTACCTTTTATTTCGCTATCAGTCGACTTGCATTTACCCCTGTGGCCTGCTCGCCCTTTTATTTCCACGCTAGAATCTACCAATTATTGAAAAAGCCTCGGATAAAAAAGCAAGAAAAGTATTTCAAGTTAAATAATTGAGAGTTTTGAGACGGTCCTAGAAAACCAGAAAAAATCAAAGAGCCTATCCATATCTCACTTCCCTCACTTCATAACAAAAACCTGGCAGCAAAACATGCGAAAGAGTCCTTAGCAACGCCCTAGCAAGGCATTTGTCTGAAGTGCGCAATATGTGTCACATCTGGAAAATTTATTAGCTACTTGATTATTTAACTAGAGTTGGACTATATAAGCTAGGCTTTTATATAAAAATAAGTATTTGCTTATGGAATTAATAGTAACTGGACGCTTAACTTCAAAATAATGATTTATTACAGAAAAAAAGCTTATTTGCGACATATTTGTAAAGAAACAACGGAAATAGCTTTGACTCGTGCGCTTTTCTAGTACATTTTTGGTCGAAAACTTCGTACAACCTTATGTTTTAGGGCCTCTTGGGATGAAGTGTGCAATTGGATGGGAGATGTGGTGTGCGCAGTAGCGTTTCTGAGACTTCTATCCGTGTCTTGTGCTCTGGTGTTTGGAAATTGGAAGTAAAGCTGCAATGTAGTTCGGAAGGTTTTCTGTTGTGCTGATTTTGTGGTAGAGTGTCAGTCTGAGTATCTGTCGTCTTGTTGTCAGTCTGTCCCAGATCTAGCCATTGTTAACTCTTTAACAGTAATAAAACCTTATTATGATGTTAGAAAATGACCTTATGCTCGTGATGCAATGACTTGATAGTAAAATAAATATCACCCTTGAAAAAGTGAATAACACGAAACGTTGGGTGGTTTTGGTGTTTTTATCTTACTTCATATACGAAGTAAAATAAGTCCTAAAAGTATTATGATATATTTCAACTTGCGTCGTCTTCAGAATGTACATTTTCGGAATTGTCGACGAGCAAATTCAAATCCTTTCAAAATAGCGTGCAACATTTTTGTGAGATCTCTGGCTAACAAATTACAGTCAGGTCATATCTATAATAAATTTTAACAGCGTACAATAGAATGCTCCAGTATCACTGAATAACAATTGGATAAATATTGTCAATGCTACACAATACCTAAAAGTAACACAGGTTTGCGCAGCACGTCAAACTCGCGAAAATGCAAAACCTACCTATGCAGAGTGATTGGCATGATTGGTATATGTACACAGGGGGTTTCTCATCACACAGGTTACATGTATTTTTATATACAACATTTTTGGTATGACAGCGGCTTTACATAGGTGAATAAAAAAGGAGAGTCCGCAAAAGACTTAAAGGTAATGTGCCACCTTTGAAAGATTTCCCATTTTATTTTTCCTAGGATAAGAAGCTTCTGTTTTTACCTAATATCGCAAAAAAATCAAAAATGGGCCTGGAATAGTGCCTTTTTCGCCTAAAAGTTTTTCGGTTTTTAGATATGTATAACAACTGTAGTGGGCTCACCTGCAAACAGGCGTCGGGCAACAATCGCGAATGCGGCGCACTTGTGACAATAAGCAAAGGTCATTATAGTGTTACGACCATACGACGTACGGGAATGAGTTATCAGCTGTCTAATCGTAGACAACACAATGTCGAGCCTTAAACTGTAAGCCCGTATTGGTATTGTTTCTTTTATTTGGCTGTCGAACATTATTTATGGTTTGAAATATGATTTTATGTAAAATAATTGATATGAAAAAGCCGTCTTATAAGTTATGACCCCATTTCACCACACGCAAGTGGCAGAAATGACAATGATCAGCTGACGCATTTTTCTTGGCCGAAGTCAGAGCGCGCGGCCCGACGCACCACGCGTATTTGGAAATTCCGACCTCGACGAGCATCAGAAGCCACCTAACAGGCGTGTTCGAAACCGCAGGAGATTATGATGAACGGGTTTATCGAAACTTGATTGGATGAACATATCGGTAATAGCGATTTCAGTGTGTGCATTTATTGTTCATAGTGGTGTGAAATGTGGTTGGGGTACGACCGACAACCCGTCGGGGCGAATTTCGCACTGGGGTACTCAAAATTTGAAGAATTTAAGACGTTTCCATGAGTTTTGAAGGTATGGATAAGCTCTAAAAATCCGGTTCTCCTTATCTGGGCCATTAACTCCATACGGTCCAAGAAAGCTGGCACACTACCTTTAATCACCGTCTACGGGATGCTAAAAACAAGACCAAAAAACACCCCTCTTGGAGACCATGTCAACCTCAAGGGGAGAGTACCCTTATTGCGCCCGCGAGATTAATGTGCCCTCCCAAGCTCCAGAAAAATTGGCACACCATAAGTACTAGTGGTGTCAATCGGTTACCGAAAAGATGTGCTGACCGATTCGGTCATCGGTGGTCAGGCCCCCCAAAAATCGGACATTTTCGGTCACCCTGCCGGTGAAACCATTTTCAAAAAGAGAAAGTATTTCATTTTTACCTAGTTAAAATGAAATTTATTGGGATGTTAATGACAAGAGTTGCAAAATTTCTCACAAAGGCTGCTACCGGCATCACCCCGTCCCACAAAAATTTTATGGGATACCGGCATGCTACCACGCCCCCCCCCCCAAAAAAAAACAACAACAAATTACTGGCCTTATAAAAAAACATGCATTGTTGATCCTTATTGACATCCTTAGGTCACGTGACCTAAGGTCAACTTTTGACCTATCGACCTTTCGAGGTCAACGTACATATGTTTCGATGCGGATCGACGAGAGTCAAAAGTTGAAAATCCGAGATAGCCAAAATGTTTGTTGGTTGATTGTGAGTTGAAGCATATAAAGTTTTTAGGCGATAGCAAACGCGGCCGGTCCGAGCGGGTCGCCTTGCAGGACACCGCAGGCCGAAGCGATGGTCTGCCCAAGATACCTATAAGAAACAGGTAGGTCGGATGTTTTGAGTAAAGCCCTGGTGACGTCACTGACATTTCTTATATGGAGAATTTCGCCCATAAGGAAAATATTTTACATACGAAAATTTGTATTTCATTAGGAAAAAAATACATTCTTTCAATTTCATCATGAAACTTATATAATTTAATTAAAAAACTTGAAATCCTTTGAGTGCTTGTCCCAACCCCTGCTATACCTTTGGTCACGTGACTGCCATGATAAACTTTGCGTTTTGCAATGTTATGACTTAAACAGAAGCAATAAATGTTACAAGCGTATTATTTATGATGTTTTAGGCAGCAATCGTGTAATAACATCCTTGAATTATATACATTCTGCTTAAGAGAGGTCACGTGATGTTACCAGATTGTGCTCGGACAGCATCTTCTTCAACTTCGATTTTGAGTACTTCTTACCTTCATTGAGGCCTAATAACGGACGTTTTTAGTTATAAAATGAAGCAATGAATCTATTGAGGGCAAAATTTAATCATTTTTGCACTTTCAAGCCGGGCTATCCTGGCATGAACTTCGGCCAGCTTGTGTGTGAAGCCTATGGTGAAGGGAAAACTTCACGCCCGGCTGACGTCACAGACCTCGGCTACCAAATCGTGTCCGGTGGGGGTCGGGTCTGCCCTCCGATGATGAGTGGGCTGGGTGAGCCGTGGGCCTGGTAGGCTAGGTAACTAGTACACCTCCGGACATCGCTCCCTAATGCGGGTCAAGAAGACGTCGCGCCGCACCGTGTTAAAAGCATTTGACACGTCAAGTTTGACCAGCACGTGTGGAGCAGCTGACTGTCGGCTGGCTTCAATGAAACTGCGTGTTGCATGGACCGCCGCCTCGCAGCCCAGGGGCGTTCCTACCCCGAGCTGGACAGGACGGAGTTCGGCACCAAGGCTGTCTGCCACGAAGCGTGCTCCGATGCGGGATGGCAGGCGTCGGTAGACGCTCCCGACTGCAATGGGCCGCAATCCGCCGCTCTTCTTCCTGAGTGCGCATAGTGAGGCGCTGAAAAGGGCGTCCCTGGCACAATCCGGCACCTCACCGGCCAGCACCAGGTTGGTGAGTGCCGTCAAGGAGTGCAAAAGACGGCGGCCGCTCTCAGCCGCCTCCCTGGAGATAAGCTGGCGTAGATGTAGCGGCCTGATGCCGTCTAGGCCTGCTGATGATCCCGGAGGCATCGAGTTGATAGCGGCCTCCACCTCCTCCGGCGTCACCGTGAGCGGCCCTGGGTCTGATGGGGCGGGCGGTGGCGGCAGAAGCTCGTCCTTGGGAGCTGCTGGGTGTTTCAGCATTATCTCGGCGATTACTTCGGCGTCAGGCTCGGCAACTGTATCGTCTGAGGTCAGTAGCCTTAGGGCCGCCCGAATGTCGCCATCTGCACATTTCCCGAGGATCCGACGGGCCAGGGCGTCAGTGGCAGGCTTTTGATGTTCTCGTGCTGAGTCATTTGTTGGTGGTTCGGGAAGCAGGTTTGGTGTCATGGTTTACCCGATGATGTGCTTTGATTTGAAATTCGGTCAATCCCTCTACTCGAAAACTGCTGTGCAATTGTACAGGGTGTAACGAAATTATCCGGACATCTATTTTTTCGCCATATCTGCTCGCAAAGTTTCTTTTTTAATGTTAGAAGCTGGAAAATTGGATGAATGCATACCTCTGGTATCTGCTCTCAACTCAGCAGTGACCTGAGGCCTCTTGCACCAAAATCCTCTTGCATCAATGCTTGGATTATTTTGCATCGTATACCCAGTCCAAGTCTCAAATGTAACAATTTGCGTGCGAAATTTAGCAAGCACATGTAGGGTTATGTATTGGGTTATTGCAAACAAATTTACCACCTTTAGATTAGCTTATTCTGAAACCGGTTTTTCGATTTTACCTAGCTAGGTAGTTTGGTGCAAGCGGCCTCTGACCTTGCGAAATGACTCTTGTTCTGAGTAAGAGTCGAGTCGCCGACAGGTTCATTTGACAGTTTTCGTTTAAGGCAGTGGAGAGAAGGGAGTACAGTCTCTCGTTTCGTAGTAAGGCTACGTGTTGGTGGCATGGTGGCATGAGCCAGAAGCTGGTCTGTCAGCAGATGGACATCAGCAGCAGCCAGTAGCACATCTGCCTCAGGCATAATAAGCTGGGACTTGGTGGCAGACTCAGCCCGGCCTCGATCGCAGAAGGCGCCCTTTGCCAAGTGGTGAGGAGAGTTGTCAAGATAGCGACAAGGAAACGGCACCAATTAATCCGCAAACTGACTCGAATTCTTACCAAGGCAGTTAATAAGAGGTCCCACATCATAATTCACCGTTACCCGCTCTTTAGCTTGGTTTTACTGCCCTTCAAACTGAAAAAGACAATGAAACTGACGGGAAAAGAACCAGTCCACCACCTTTGGCCTCAGGCCAGGGCGTGACCACTGGTCGAAGGAAGACATGAATGAGATGGCCTGGTCGGATGGGAAGCTGTTCGAGCTGCGATGTCCGTTGAACCGTCAAATCGGTCATGTGTGGGCTGCCAGCAGCTCGAACATGCCGGCCGTCGCCGGCGTCAAGCATCCGGTCAAAATCCAAACCTGGAGCATGTTCAGCTGCTGTGCAATATTCAAGCTGTTCATGACGCCACAGGAAACCACATCAGTGACGAGTATTACCGGCGCAACATCCTGGCTAGCGATTGGTTGGAGCCACTCAACCAGACGGCGCAGGAGGGCTCTGTTTCTGAACGCGTACTGATGCCTGATTCAAGCCGCGCAGTCTTCATGCGGGGCGGCGCACCACCTTCAAGTCCCCTAGCAGAATGAGAAGCGATGCCGAGAGGACCTATTTTTCTTCTGGGCTAACGGGCTATGGCTTGGAAATAGTTCCCATCCCAATTCCATCGATATCTTATGGACTATTGTCCAGCAGGAGATGAATGAAGGGACACCCGCCACCAGCGCCGCCCAACTGTGGGCACAGGCTAGCAAGGCGCTGCTCTACATGAAACCCACTGTGCTGGAAAACCCAGTGGCTGGAATGCTCCAGAAATTTGTACCTGCGCTCTTATGAAAAGTGGCTATATAATAATTCAAAAGAGAAAATATCAGATTGTCTTGCTTCTTAATTACAGCGCGAAGAAAGATGTCCGGATAATTTCGTTACACCCTGTATTTTCGACATAGCCCACAAATGACCTTAGGTCATCGCATGACCTTGAGAGGTCAAATGAGTGTTGGGAAAGTAAGATTAGATGCTGGCGAGTCGATTGGTGCCATTTTTAGCGCTCTAGCTCTACTGGGTGGGCCACAATCTGTTGTGCAAATTTGGGCCACGTGACCTTTGCTGACCTCTGTAGGTCAAACGGCTGGGAGTGCCACCGAATGACTTGGACTGTGGATTGGGCATGTCATGGCTTACATTGTGTGCGAGTTTCAGCTTGATCGGAGGTGTCCCGAATCTGGGCTGAATCCGGGCTGCGACGTATTGAGTGTCGTTTATTTGCACATTTTGACCTGCCGAGGTCAAACGGGGTCACATATCGAAAAGCGGTTTTTAAGGAAAGTTACTACGGCCTATGGGCTACCCGATGATGTGCTTTGATTTGGAATTCGGTCAATCCCTCTACTCGAAAACTGCTGTGCAAGTGTATTTTCCACATAGCCCACAAATGACCTTAGGTCATCGCATGACCTTGAGAGGTCAAATGAGTGTTGGGAAAGTAAGATTAGATGCTGGCGAGTCGATTGGTGCCATTTTTAGCGCTCTAGCTCTACTGGGTGGGCCACAATCTGCTGTGCCAATTTGGGCCACGTGACCTTTGCTGACCTCTGTAGGTCAAACGGCTGGGAGTGCCACCGAATGACTTGGACTGTGGATGGGGCATGTCATTGCCTACATTGTGTGCGAGTTTCAGCTTGATCAGAGGTGTCCCGAATCTGGGCTGAATCCGGGCTGCGACGTATTGAGTGTCGTTTATTTGCACATTTTGACCTGCCGAGGTCAAACGGGGTCACATATCGAAAAGCGGTTTTTACGGAAAGTTACTACGGCCTATGGGCTACCCGATGATGTGCTTTAATTTGGAATTCGGTCAATCCCTCTACTCGAAAACTGCTGTGCAATTGTATTTTCGACATAGCCCACAAATGACCTTAGGTCATCGCATGACCTTGAGAGGTCAAATGAGTGTTGGGAAAGTAAGATTAGATGCTGGCGAGTCGATTGGTGCCATTTTTAGCGCTCTAGCTCTACTGGGTGGGCCACAATCTGCTGTGCAAATTTGGGCCACGTGACATTTGCTGACCTCTGTAGGTCAAACGGCTGGGAGTGCCACCGAATGACTTAGACTGTGGATTGGGCATGTCATGGCCTACATTGTGTGTGCGTTTCAGCTTGATCGGAGGTGACCCGAATCTGGGCTGAATCCGGGCTACGACGTATTGAGTGTCGTTTATTTGCCCATTTTGACCTGCCGAGGTCAAACGGGGTCACATATCGAAAAGCGGTTTGTAAGAAAAGTTACTACGGTTTATGGGCTACCCGATGATGTGCTTTGATTTGAAATTCGGTCAATCCATCTTCTCGAAAACTGCTGTGCAAGTGTATTTTCGAAATAGCCCACAAATGACCTCAGGTCATCGCATGACCTTGAGAGGTCAAATGAGTGTTGGGAAAGTAAGATTAGATGCTGGCGAGTCGATTGGTGCCATTTTTAGCGCTCTTGCTCTACTGGGTGGGCCACAATCTGCTGTGCAAATTTGGGCCACGTGACCTTTGCTGACCTCTGTAGGTCAAACGGCTGGGAGTGTCACCGAATGACTTGTACTGTGGATTGCGCATGTCATGGCCTACATTGTGTGCGAGTTTCAGCTTGATCGGAGGTGTCCCGAATCTGGGCTGAATCCGGGCTGAATCTGGGCTGAATATGGGCTGTATTGGGTTTGGCGACTTTTTGACCCAGCAACTTCCTTGGGAAAGCTCCACCCATGCTCTGGAGGCTAAACCGTTGACCTGAGGTAAAATCTGAGGACATTACTCAGAAAGGTCTGTGAAGGGGTTATCGAATGCGCTTTTCTGCGGCGCTGTAGCTCTATTGGTTCTAGTGATGTCAATTTCAGAAATTTTGGAAACCAATACCAAACCGATACCGACCAAAACCACTGAGAGTATACCAAAACCGAACCGATTTTCAGAAATAGGTTGAAATACCGACTAGGTACCGAATTCAGGGAATCATCAAACAAATGCTTCAAACTTTCTCAAAACAAATGATAAGCATTAAAAGGTAATACTTTAAAATAAGGCAACAAAAACAAGCCAGGAAATCTTTAAGTTATTTGCACTGCAAAAAAAAAATATAGCTGTATTGTGTAACTATTAACAAATATTCAGGTCAGTTACTTAACTGGGATGTGGATTCAAGTCATCTGCATGAGGTGATAGGACAAGAACTTGAACCCTGAACCTCATCCATGCCTGAACCCAAGTCATTCAATTCGAGTCCAGTCAAGACAGGGTTACGTGTGTTACCATGATCCAAAAATGGTAACCAAATGACAATGATGGGCTGGGCTATACCATTAATGTAAACAAAATCCATGATACCTACAGTTCAACTCAAGTAGCGATGGTGACGAATCGATAGTGACGCAGCCAATTTTTTATCATAAATAAATGTTTAACACAACAAATCTTGATAAATAATTACTTACGAGGCACACTGATAGATAGGAGACACCACTGTAATGATATCGCGATGAAAGCTAAGTAAAATGTCCATAATTTTACGGAATCATTGACAAGTGTCACGTGGCATCACTTCCACAATGGCAGCCGTGCACTGGCCGTGCAGGCGGCGGCCATTTGCATTTAGGCACGAAACGCACGGAACTGCATAAAATAAAGTTTTTTTTTCTTTTTGCTTATGTACACTTAATTTAAAAATATGATGTTCATATTTTGGTATCTTTTAATTAATTCAAGAAAGATTGCACGCCGCTATCGCTAAAAAAAGAAGAACCAGAAAAACAATGTTGCTCAATTATTTTCAATTAATTTTGAACTACATCGGATTTTAGCGCAGCTGCGACATTTAAAAGTTCTTAGATGTGTTCAGTTTTTGAACTGCTATTTGCGATGCAAGCCAAGACCCAGTTATATTTTAGGAATGCTTTTGATTATATTGCTAGCGATTTTTATCTGTTGAGGAGAGCAGGAAAGAGAACACTAAGTAAAGAAAATAAATAATCCACAGGATCTTTTTGAAGTTGAACGAAGTTGAGAATTTGTGGGGTGATGATGAAGTGATAAATGCTGCCTTCAATATTAGATGATATTGGTGAAGCTAGTGCTATAAAAACAGGGTTTTGACTTTTGGATAATGTAACTGCACTGCAGTGAAATGCAGAGCAAGACAAGGTCAAGATCAATCACAGACTCCTCAAAACAAAGTCAAATTTGTTACCAATGAATGCTTTGGAAATTTTGAGTAAGGTAGTTAGAGTATGTTTTCCAGT